GTGCTCCGAGCTGCATTGTCCAGGCACTTCCGCTTCGAAGATTGACACTTCCTCGCCCACTGCGCGCGTGAGTGGCACCCTGCATGTGTCTCGACCACCCCCGCAAGGTCGCACTGGCTCAAGAACTCTGGGGCCACCAACGTGGCCCCACGTCTTGGCCCCCAGGCAGGTGGCACCGCCGAAGAACACGGTGCCACCAGCTGGCGCCGATGATAATGGAACGACGAATGATATGAACATACAAACTCGGCGGTTCGCGCGGATTTCTCGGATCCGCGCTGGGGACTCCTGGCGGCGCCTCTGGCGCCGCCCCTGGCGCGCTCCGCGCGCCAGGCAGGGGGGGTCCAGCCCCGATCCGGGCAGTCCGCGCGGACCTCCGAGTTTTTATGCTTATGTCATTGTTTCTTCCCCCAGATGAAACCCCAGCGGCCGAGCCTGCTCCGAGTCTGCTCCGGGAGGCGACCCGAGGAGGAGGAGGAGGAGGAGGAGGAGGAGGAGGAGGAGGAGGAGGAGGGGGAGGAGGAGGGGGAGGAGGAGGAGGCGGAGGGGGAGGGGGAGGAGAGGGAGGCAGCCGAGCCTGCTCCGCATCTGCTCCGGGAGGCGCGGCATCGGCGCCAGCCTCCCCGCGGCCCCGCCGAGGCCATCGGCTCGCTCGCTCCCCGTCGAGGCCGAGGGCGCGTCGGCGCCCCCTCGGCGGGAGCTGTGGCGCTCGCGTGGCCGTGCCGACACACCGCCTGCGCCGGCGGCGGGGGCGCCCCCAGCCCCTGGCACGGCCTGGGCTGAAGTCGGGCCTGTCCCTCTACAGGGGGAATACCCAAAAATAGTTTGAAGATAGCCAGGGGACTATGTTTGGGGCATTTGTTGACCATTTTGGGGTATTGTTGCATATTTTTTGTCGACAAAAACCCCCTGAAGGGGGACACGCCCGACTGAAGCCCGCGCTTGGCGGCCCCGGCGACGCGTGGGTTCGCGACGGGTCCCGTTTCCATGGGAAATCGCGGATTTCCGCCGCCGAGCGAGGCGGCACCGGCCGCATTTTGGGGAGGGCACCTCCCCGTGGCGAGCCTGCCTGATGCGCTCCATCTCCGCCTGCATGTCCTCCTCCAACTGGCCCCGACTCCACTGCGGGCGAAGCCGCGGGTGCACCCTTGGGCGCGGCGCCGTCGCCGAGGTTGGCCTTCCCGCAGGAGTTGGTCTTGCGCTTCTTGTCGTGGCGCTCCTCGACGGCCTTCTTCAGCTCGTCGGCCCTGCCCTTCCACTGCGCTACGTCCGCGGACTTGTTGGCCAGGTCGTACTTGGTAGCGACGAGATCGGCCTCGAACTTCCTATAGGCCACCTTCTCGGTCTCGTCACATTCGGCACTGTCCAACGAAGCGAAAAACCCCGTGTCACAGCTAAGATCGACTGTATCTGGCCGGGTCTGACCGTCGCCGCCGCCGCTGTCGCTGTCGCTCGGCCCGATGCCGAGCTCCCGCGCCAGCGCCTTGACGGCCGTCTTCTTGCTGATCTCGGCAGTCCCGAGCGCCTTCGCCGTCTCCGCCTCCTGGGCAAGGGCGCGCTCCAGGTTCTCACGACTCCGCTTTGCACGGCTTGCCGCCTGCTCGTAGCGGAGGGAGGCGTCCTTCCAGGCGCCCTCCGCCCGCCTCACCGCCTCGGCAGGCCGCAAAGGCGCGGCTAGCGGCTGGCGGCTCGACCGCCTGCTCCACCTTCTGCGCCTGCTGCTCCAAGCCCTTCCTCACCTCGGGGTCCTTCGCCAGCGCGATAGCCTGCGCCAGCACGCTGGTGACCGTGGGAGCTGCCGACAGGTCGCCCACGAGCTCTGGCGACGACTGCTGGTCCTCCTTAAGCCTTCCGAGGCGTGAACAACTTCACTGTTCGATGGCGCTTTCGGCACATCACGTGTGCCGTGGTGAGCACCTCGTTGTACTCGCACATGTTGCGAGCTTTGCAGGTAGACCACGAGCACGACGTGGTCACACTACGAACCTCTCTTCGCCAGCGGGACTGACCACAGAAGCTGAGTTGTGAGAAGCCCGCTGCCCCGAAGCACTTCATGAAAGTGAAAGGCCTTGGCTCTACCGCAACAAATTGTTGATATGGTCGAACCAGTATGTGCTTGAGTGGAGGAGGAGGAGGAGGAGGAGGAGGAGGAGGAGGAGGACGAGCAGGAGGAGGAGGAGGAGGAGAGGAGGAGGGAGGAGGAGGAGGAGGAAGAGCAGGAGGAGGAGGAGGAGGAGGAGAGGAGAGGAGGAGGAGGAGGGGAGGACGACGAGCAGGTGGAGGAGGCGGAGGAAGGAGGAGGAGGAAGAGGAGGAGGAGGAAGAGGACAACGAGCAGGGAGGAGGAGGAGGCGAGGAGGAGGAGGAGGAGGAGGAGGAGGGAGGAGGAGGAGGAGGAGGAGGAGTTGGAGGGCGTGCCTTGTTACTGCGCCCCCGGAGGGCCGCCGCCACGGCGCCGCTGGGCGGCCGTGGGCGCGCTCTCCGCAGGCCCTCCGCCCAGGCATCTCCCGGAGGGGCCCTTTAAGGCCTCCTCGGCGCCAGCGCGCCCGCGGACACGGACGGCCTCACAGCCGCGCGAAGAGGGCCAGCTGCCCGACGAGATGGGAAAGGAGGACCCAGATCTACGACGATCTGTTTTTCCGTTTTTTTGGTTGTTCCGTTCTGGCGCTTTTGCTGCTTTCCCGATGTCGGTCTCTCGGGCCCGTTCTTCGGCCCCGTGGCCATCGGAATCGGATCGGGGGAAGTGGCCGGGACTTCTGGGGCCATTGAACACATTTTTTTGATCCGCGGGTCGAGAGCGCACCTCTTCCGGTCGAAGCTAAGCGGGCCGCGCGAAGCTTGAATTGACAGAGGGGGGAAGGCAGAAGGAGGAGCCTCACGTCAGGGCCAAGAGGGGGCAACGCCCCGGAATCAGGCGGTGCCGAAGGCGAAGTGCATGCAAAGGAACGCCTTGTACAGGAACCCGGCGGCGAAGTACCGGGGGGCCATTGAAAACATGGTATCGGCGGGTATCCGGGGCATGCTCGCCCCCTTCACCCGCGGGGGGGCGCGAAGAGAGTCGCGCTAGGCGCGTCGCAGTTTGGGGGCCAGAGAGCGGCGGCCTTTCTCCAGGGGGCGGCGCGAGGGCGCGAGGGCTCGAAGACGAGTCTCGCGCCGCGCGCCGCGGGGCGCGGTTTTGCGAAGGCTCGGGGATCTGGGGCGCACGCGGGCGCACTTTTTTAACTCGCGGGTCGAGAGCGCACCTCTTCCGGTCGAAACTAACTGTTAGTATAAACTGCCTTAACTCTGGCTGCGCGCGGGCGCACACGCGGATGCACACGTGCACACGTGCAGGCGCGCGTGGCACCCACGCGCACGCCATGCTCGTGCGCACACCCGCGCGCACCCCTTGGGGGCATGGCCAATGTCACACACGCGGCTCCCTGAGGCTTTCCTGGCGGTGGTGATGTCGTGCTGCGCTCACTGCCAAGACTCAACGGAGGAACAACCACCCCGACCCCGATAATTGGCGTTTACTAAACGGCCCCGGGCGTTCACTAAACAGCCTTGCCCTGTTTGATTCCTACTTCCGGTGCGGTTGCTAAGTTGGTTCGCTTGTTATGGGTGCGAATGACAGGGGCGGTGGTGATGCCATGCTTATTTGCCAAGTTGGTTCGCTTGTCGGGGTGCTTGTGATGCACGCTTCGCTCGCTGTCAAGACGCTGAAAAGGACCCCTTTCGGCGCAGGGAGGGGCTCCGGCTTTGGGAGCGCTCCTTGGATCTGGGTCGGGGCGCCTGCTCGGGGCCGCGGGTCGCCGCGGCCAGAGCAGCCCTTTTGGTCCCTTGTTGAGCGTGCCTCGTGGCAGCTCGGCAGATGTGCTGTAGGCGACGACGGTGGTGGTCGGCACGCTGGAAGCAGGCCGTGGGAACAATCATAGCTGGCGACGTGAACATTCACCACAGGGTGGCTTCAGTTCTCTCACCCGGTCGCTCTGGAGATGCTCCGGGGCCGCGTGCCAGGGGCAGGGTCCAAGGGCAGGGAGATGCAGCGGGGGGAGGCGACCGCACGGCCGAAACAGAGTGAAGGGTCGGAGGGGTGGGAGTCTTCAGGACGGATGGCCAAGGGCCAGGTGGAGGGCCTGAGGGCAGAGGGAGGGCCTGAGCGTAGGGGGAGGACCCGGGCAGCGGAGGGTGCGGGCGCCCTGTGGCAGGGGCAGTGTTCGGTAGCTTCGCGTCGTGTCGGCCAGTGGCGACCCCGCCGCGGGCGTGCAAGGTTGAACGCCGCCAGTGGCCCAGAATCGGCACACGTGGAACGATCGGGTGATCGGAAAGCCGCCGATCGTTCCAGGTTGAACGATCCGCGCGGTGTCCGAAACCAACGCCGGGGTCCTCACGACACGAACCTGCCGCAGGAGGGGGGTGGTGCGGTCGCACGGTCGGGGCGTTTCCAGGGGAGGGCCCTGAGCCGTGGCGAGGCAGAAGCACGGACGAGGCAGGCGGCAGGAGGACCGGGGGCCCAGTCGGACGGTCGGTCGTCGAAAGGCGCAGTGCGAGCAAGATCACACCATCAATCAGGTATGGCTGGTATGTTGACAGGGTAAGAAGCTCCAACAGGTAAGTTTTTCCATGGCAGCAGGCATCCTACACATATATATATATATATACACATGTGAATCTATGTATGTATACATCATACATAACACGTACGCAATACTCAAGTGCCGCGATTACTCATTATTTCGGCTTGCCGTTTTTGAGAGGATTGCAAGCATAGTTCAGCATACGAGCGTGTTCGGCGATTTTGGCGATTTTCTGGATGCGCCACATCGTACGGACCCGTGCTAACAAGCCTATTGGTGGGACGCCGCACTCTGAGCTGCTTCCCTTTCCAGCAGGACTCGGAGGTACGCCACATGATTGTGTCAGTCGGCTTCGAAGTGCGTGTGCTCCGAAGCAGTTGCTGGGTTGCGTTTTCACCGGCTCGTGGTATGGCATCTGTTTTGTCGTGCCTTTTCCTGCAAGGCGCAAGATGCGTTCGCCGCGAAGGGTTCGACAGTGGAGGCTCCATCCCGCCATGCTTTCTCTTTCAGCGTTTGCCGTACTACGTTTGTTATACTCTATATTGTGAGCTTGTTGTTACTTCCGTTCTGTGGTTATTTGTCACGCAAGCTTTGCGTCAGTCATCTTGCGTCAGTCAATCCGTCGCCTCAACTCTGCCGTCATATTGTCCCGCCGAGCATAACAGCATACGTCCAAGAGTATCGCGATCGTTTGGTATGTTTGGTGATTTTGCCCTTTCTCTCTCCGTTTCTTTATCCGAAAATATAATGTAATCGGAGGTTGGGGGGTGAGTTCGACGTCAAACGGAGACCCCCCCTACAGGGCAATCGATTTCGGTTTCGGGTTCGTTTCGTGCGTGCGTGCGGGCGAGGCGAAGCTGCGAGGGCGGGCGACTTGAAGGCCTCATGTGGCTGGGCCGCGGCCAGACCAAATGTAACTCCTCCGGCGGCCGGTGCCCCGCGGTGTCCCGCCAGTGTCGCGCCGGTGTCCCGAATTCCTCCTGTGGCTGGGCCGCGGCCAGACCAAATGTAACTCCTCCAGCGGCCAGTGCCCCGCGGTGTCCCGCCAATGTCCCGCTGGTGTCTCGTGGTGTCCCGTAGTGTCCCGTGGTGTCCCGTTGAGTGAGATCGATAGTGCGATCGATAGTGAGATCGAAAGTGAGATCGATACTGAGATCGATACTGAGATCGATGCGGTGCCCCGAGGCGACCCGTGTTGTCGATGTCCCGTGGTGTCCCAAAAAGTGAGACCGATAATGAGATCGATAGTGAGATCGACAGGTGTCCCGTGGTGTCCCGTGATGTCCCGTGGTGTCCCGTTGAGTGAGATCGGTAGTGAGATCGGTAGTGAGATCGATACTGAGATCAACGTGGTGCCAGAGGTGTCCCGTGGTGTCCCGTGGTGTCCCGTTGAGTGAGATCGATAGTGAGATCGATACTGAGATCGACAGGTGTTCCGTGGTGTCCCGTGGTGTCCAGTTGAGTGAGATCGACACTGAGATCGATACTGAGATCGATGTGGCGTCCCGAGGTGTGCCGTGTTGTCCCGTGGTGTCCGATGGTGTCCCGTTGAGTGAGATTGATAGTGAGATCGATAGTAAGACCGATAGTGAGATCGAGGGGTGTTCCGTGGCGTCCCGTGGTGTCCCGTGGTGGCCCGTGGTGTCCCGTGATGTCCCGTTGAGTGAGATCGATAGTACGACCGATAGTGAGATCGACAAGTGTCCCATGGTGTCCCGTGGTGTCCCGTGGTGTTCCGTTGAGTGAGGTCGATAGTGAGATCGATTGAGTCAGATGTTGGTTCCCCCCTCTCTCTCCCCCCCCCCTCCTTATCACCCGAAGAGTGGTCGTATAGGTGTATTGGATTGCCATGGCCTTACGGCCGGTGCCGCCGATCCTGAATGCGACGAAAACGAGGAGGACGACGAAGACGAGGATGAGGATCAGGAAGAGTTGGAGGACGCGGGGGACGCTGTTGAGCAGCATGAGCAGGAGGAGGAGGAGGAGGAGGTGGTGAGGGATGAGGATGCGGAGGAGGATGAGGAGGGGAAGCTGGGGCAGGGGGGAGGACGAGGGAGGAATGAACAGGAGGACGAGGAGAGTGAGAGCCGGGGAACAACAGGACAAGTATCTTCTCGCAAGATGGCGCAAAAGGCTCCTCGATGGACCTCGCCGAAAAGAAATTCAAACGTCCGAGCAATGCCAAGGAAACGGGTCTTACGCGAGATGACAGAGTGAACTTGCGCGGCGGCTTACGCGGGCCACCAGCGCGGCACGCTACACTGGAAACGGCTCTCCGGCGGCCGCTCGGAACGATCTGGGTACCCCTGGCATCGAAGAAGAAACATCGCCATATACATAAACTTTTGGCGCTCCGCGCGGATTTCTTGGATCCGCGCTGGGCCCCCGGGCGGCGCCGCTGGCGCCGCCCCTGGCGCGCTCCGCTCCAAGAAGTCCGCGCGGAGCGCTAAACGTTTATGTTTATGGCGTTTGTTCTTCTTCTATGGGACGATCTCGGCGAGGCGCAGCCGCTGGAAGGCATCCCGAGGTCGGATAGCCGACGAGATCCGACGGACCACGTGCGAGAAGCTCGAACCTCGAACCTTGTTTGTCGAGCCTTTCTCACAACGAGAGCACCCGCGGACGGGGCTAGGACTAGGATGAATCCGTTCCAGAGCGTTCCGGAACGCTCTCACAGAGCGTGCCAGAGCGCTTTGGGAAGGCCGCGGCGCCCGACGCATCCTCCAGAGAGGCCGAATCTCAGAGCTTGTCGATCTATCCTCACCCGATTCTATCCTCGCCCTGGCATCGTCCTCAGTGCTCGCAGCGAAAGCACAGGTGTCACCGCCCACCAAACCACCCCAACCCAACCCGAAGGCACGATTTGCCCCCCATTTCCAGTGTGGGGGGGGGGTCGGCAAACATTGAAAGACACATAAAGCTCGTACCTCCCCCAGCCCGAAATTCGGGCGGAATTCGGGTCTTCGGGTTCGGTTGGGGTGGTCTGGTAGGTAGTCAAGGTGCGTCAGCTCTTCAAGGGGATTCCCATATTCCAATATACTTTAAGCGCCTTCCTACTTCAATGATCGAGTGTCTTCAACTTTTCCGTCCTCTTTCGGGGGCGGGCGGACGCCCAATCTACTGTCAGCGCCTTCCTACTTCATGTTTCTACCCACTTCTTCTGGCCCACGGGCATCCTCGCCCGATTCTGTCCTCGTCCTGGCTCCGTCCTCGCTGCTCGCAGCGACAGCACAGAGGTGCTCCAGCTCTTCGAGCAGGCGGAGGCCGCCATGGCGGGACACATGGGCGCGGGGCTCGCGGGCCTGGCGCCCGAGGAGCCCCGGCCCGCGGCCCGCTTGCGGGGAGCGGCTGGCGCCGGCTCCCGGCCTGGCATCGCTTGGACGTGTGCATTTTTTCTCGGCGAGAACCATCGAGGACCATCCTCGACCAACGAGGAAAACAAAACACGCACGAAACCGGAAAAACGCACGGGAAATGGACGTCCGAGCGACGGCGAGCCGGCCGCTGCAGGGCCTCTGCCGATGCGGGCCGTCCGAGGGGTCCGAGTCTCCGGGGCGGCCTGGCTCAGAGGAGGAATCTCGACTAGACGTAGGAGTGGCCCTTCGCCGGAGGGACCTCTGGTGCGGGCACGGATGGGTCCCCAGATGGCTGAGAACGAAGCAGCGGCAGCTGCTTGCGCGCCCAGGTTTGGTCCCCCCGCGGCCCCCCTAAAGCCGCGCACCAAAGGTCACTCTTACCCAGGGTCACTCTTACGTATAGCCGAAGGAAGAGGTACCCACACTTCTCGGAGGTTGAGAAACCTCCTACCCTGACACGTCGATTAGCGAATTGGCCGTTTTCGGTTCGCGAGAGGGCGTCGCGGCCGTCATTTTTGCGTGTCCAGGTCCGTCGGTTTCGGCCCCAAGCCGTTTTTCACTAAAGGGTCGTTTACTGAAGGGAGGTCTGTACACCGCCGAACCTCTACCCTGCGCCCGTTTTCCCCTTTCTGGGCCTCCTGGGCGGCCCTCGTCGCCACCGCTGGATCCGCCTCGAAATTCTGGTCAGAACGCACCCCAGGAGAGGGCCTGGGGGATAGGGGTATCGGTAATTACCTTTTGGTTTCTCCACTAAACGACTCCTAGTCAAACCATCCCCTTCCGTGACGTCCCCCTCGCCTCGCCCCAAGACGTATGTATGCGGTCAGAGGGGAGCTTGAAAGGCGAGCATGGCGTCATGGAAGGGGATGGTTTGCTAGGGGTCAGTAAGACCGCGCCTGATATTCTCAGAGGAGGAAATGGTACCGATACAGCTACACTTGCCTCGTTTTTCTTGTTCATGGGCCTCCTGGGATGCCCTCGTCGCCACCGCTGGATTCGCCTCGAAATCCTGGTCAGAACGCGCCCCAGGAGATGTCTGGGGAGTAGCGGTATCGGCACCTTTTCGGTTTTCCCAGATTCCAGCCAGCCTGGTTCGATTTCGATGTTCCGACAAACCGATGCGACCTGATGCTTGCATGGCGCTGCTGTGCATCCTGGCGCCGCCGATCCGTTGCGATCCCCTCGATGTGCCGATGCGGCCCGGTCCGACGCACATTCCGATTCGATCCGATTTCCCGATTCGATGCTGACTGATCGTGCCTCTGGCCTCCCTCCTCCCTTAGAAGTCTAGCAGGGGTCCCTAGGTCCTCCAGAGGATCCGTTAGCTTCTCCAGAGGATTTCCCACTGGAGTCCACAGGAATCCTTCTTAGTAGAATCCTTCGGTCATTCGGGTTCCTGAGGAATCTCCTGCTTCAAGGGCCCTCATCGAGGGCGCGCCTGCGTGCACCCCACACCCCAGGCACCCCAGCCCCTGACGCCATAGCCCCGCGCCGTCTTCCCCTGCTCCCCACCTCCCCCAAGCGCCTCTTGCCCTGATGGCTCACGCGCACCGTGGCGCTTCCTCGACCTGCAGGGGAATGAGTCGTGCCACCCGAGAACAAGCTTTCCCCCCCCCCCCCCCCCTCCCTCCCTAGGGAAACAAACAGTGACTTGAACATAAAACCCAGAGGTCCGCGCGGATTGCTCGGATCGGCGCTGGACCCCCCTCCCTGGCGCGCGGAGCGCGCCAGGGGCGGCGCGGGAGGCGCCGCCAGGGGGCCCCAACGCCGATCCGAGAAATCCGCGCGGACCTCCGAGTTTTAAAGCTCATGCCACTGTTTGCTCCCCTACTCCCTCCCTTCTCCGCCCTCCACAATTACTCAATATGAATACTACTCTCCCTCTTCCCCTGATGACGTGCTGGGAGTGTTCGACCCCCCCCGCGTATTGTTTTTTACACAGGATCCCCGGGAGTTGGGTTTTCGCTTGCATTTTTTTCAAAATGCTGCTCTCGCTGAGGCGCCGGCCTCATTTTCGGGCCCCGCTCGTTCCGAATCGTGCTCCCGCTACAGCGCTGGCTTCATTTCCGTGCTTCACCGTTGCAGCGCTGGCCTCATTTCCGCGCTTCCGCTCGTTTCGACTCGTGCTCCCGCTGCAGCGCTGGCGTCATTTCCCGTGCCATGCTACGGCATGCAATGCAATGCTAGGTTGATGCTACGCTTTGCGGTGCTCTTCTACGCCATGCCACGCCGTGCTCTACAATGCGTCGCGTACCCTTTACCCTTTCGTGATCATTGCCCTGCTCGACATCCGACTGTGCGAGTAGAGAGGGGATCTACGCCATGGTAAGGGATGGGAGGGAGGGGAAGGATGTCAGATATGACGCGAGCGCGCCTAGCTTGCCCTCCCCCCCCTCCTCCTCCTCCTCCTCCTCCTCCTCCTCCTCCTCCTCCTCCTCCTCCTCCTCCTCCTCCTCCTTCTCTTCGTCCTCGGCTCCATCGCCCCGCGGCCACGGCGCCCCCAGGGCGCAGCCGAGCCTGACTGGCAGGTCGGCCCTGCCGACCTGCCAGCCAGTCTCGAGGGCGCAGGGAGGGAGGCCAGAGGACGGAGGGAGGGGGGGGGGAGGGAGGAAAGGGAGAGAGGGGGGGCCAGCCAGTCTCGAGGGCGCAGGGAGGGAGGCCAGAGGACGGAGGGAGGGGGGGGGGAGGGAGGAAAGGGAGAGAGGGGGAGGGAGGAGGGGAGGGAGGAGAGGGAAGAGGGGGGAGGCAGGGAGGGGAGGGAAGGGGGAGGGAGGGAAAGGGGGAGAGGGGGGAGAGCGGAGGGCAAGAGGAGGGAGGGAGTAGGGGAACAAACGTGACACCAAACATAGAAATCGAGGTCCGCGCGGATTTCTCGGAGCTGCCTGGCGGCGCCTCCGGCGCCGCCCCTGGCGCGCTCCGCGCGCCCGGGAGGGGGGTCCAGCGCCGATCCGAGAACTCCGCGCGGACTTCCGAGTTTTTATGTTCATGCAACTTTTTGTTCCCCCATGCCTTCTTACGTTCCTGCGGCATTGTGGCCCCCAGAAGTCCGCCTCCATTCTTCGTCCTTTTTTCCTCACGTCGTCCTCCCTTCCTCCTCCTCCTCCTCCCTCCTCCTCCTCCTCCCTCCTCCCGCCCTCCTCCCCCTCCTCTTTCCTCCTCCTCCTTCCTCCTCCTCCTCCTCCTCCTCCTCCTCTCCGCGCTCCGCTCCGCGGATTCCCCGCTCCGCGCCTTTGCTTGTGTGTGTGTGTGTGTATGTGCAGGCGGCCGGGATCAGTAGGCCGGCCCTATCAGATCAAGGGTGCCCTTGTGTCCCGCGTCTTGCGGCCCATGCGTCCTTCATTTCTGTGGCAACGTGGCCTTCTGAAGGGTCTTGTGTCCTCTCGCGTGTCCTCGCCAATCAAGTCCGACTGTATGTGTGTGTGTGTGTGCGTGTGTGAGTGTGTTTGTGTGTGCGTGTGTGCGCGCGTGTGTGTATGTGTGTGTGTGTTTGTGTGTTTGTGTCTGTATGTGTGCTTGCGTGCGTGTGCGTGTGCGTGTGCGTGTGTGCGTGTGTGTGTGTGTGTGTGTGTGTGTGTGTGTTGGGGGGGGGTGAATGTTTGCGTGCGTGTGTGCGTGCGTGTGCGCTCTCAAGAGGAAGGCGCTCTTCGCCCCCGTGCTGGCCATGCCAGCTGTCACTAAGGCTGAGATCTAAAGCCTGAATCGACAGCAAGGCCAACGCCATCGGCGCGGCACCGTGGTAAAGCCGAAGCCACAGTGAACAGGTAAATACGGCTGAAGCTTGACCCAGAAGACAAGGTCAATCATAGATACGGCAGATTCGCGTCACGTCGACCGGCGGCGACCCCAGCGCGTGCATTTGAGGTTGAACGCCGCCCGTGGCCCAGAATCGGCCCGTCGTTGTAATTATGATCCGGTCTTTTTGACAGGGCCGAACGTTCAAGTGAACGATCCTGGCGGTGTCAGGAACCGACGCTGGGGTCGACACGACGCGAACCTGCCGTACATAGAGCCAGATCTGATGGCAAAGATGTCCCACCCACGACGTGACGATGCACCCAGCGTGCCCGACGCACGCGAGAGCACGGCCAGCACAGCACATCACACCCGGCCGTGCGACGTCTTCGAAATGTTGCACTGGCGCAGCCTGGCGGAGGCCCCAGGAGGGAGCTGGGTCTGTCCACTGCTCGTGTTGGGGGACCTGTTTCGGGCGGGTGATGATGGGGTGTGGCCCACAAAAGGGGGGGTGAAGAGAAGGGCCCCTTTGGGACCTTTTTCTTCACCCTCCCAATTTGGGTCACCCCCCACTGCAATGGGGGCCCGTGCCAACAAACACCCTGCTTGCCTCCAGGGTGCCCCTGGGCTCTTTGGGTTTCGATGGTTCTGCAATGGAAAGCGTGACGTTCCCACACCAAACAGCGATGGACTTCCTGTGGTCTCAGGGTTGGGTTTCTTGTGGAAGGCTTCTTGTGGACGAGCCTCCATTGTACCACCCGCCCGACTTCTGTCATCGTCAGACCAATCCAGCACGCGACGGTGACGCGGCACCACGGCACCAGGGAGGTCCAGACGCCGAAGCCCCGGGGCACAGGGTAGGACGCCCGCAGGGAGTGGGAGGAGAGACGGTCACGTTGGCACGCTGCCCAGAGGGGTGCCCAGCGCCACGGGCATTCGCGCACAGCTTCGCAAGCATGCCGTGCACAGCACGAGGCACGAAACTACGATTCCCTGGTGAAATTTACCTCAGACGCGTTTCCACGCCCAGTCTACGATCCATCATCTTTGTACTTGTCCGTCGTATCCCTTGGCACTTCGCATGTGTGCATGATTTCGCATATGGGCCTAAGCCACAGTCTGCTCAACATTGCGACGCGCTTGCGGCGTATCCGCATCCGTGACAGCTTGTGGAGGGTCCAGAGCGCGTCGAATTGGCAACATGAGCGGCCTTTTTGTGAACGTGACAGTATATTGGATATTCGCGACGATGAGTCTGCTGTCCTGGTTTGCCTTCGGCATTCCAAAGCTCACCGCTAATGATCCCAATATTTTGAAGAGCGTCATCGTGGTGGCCCATCTTGCTGCTTCTCTTTGTACGACGATTGC